CCCGGCCCAGTTCGATCCATGTCAATGCAAATGGTGGGCATTCAGAGTTTCTGATGGCTGAGTAACACTCCTTTGGGTATATGTACCAACGTGTGGAAGGAGCTGAGATGCCCTTCAACAGATGGATGGATATTATGTCCATTTTACAGGTGGGAAAACTGATGGGCTCACAGATGCCCATGGCATAATGGTATTGCTCTCAGAGGATGCTGAAGGCAAGCTCCCCGGGTCAGGTTGTAAGTAGGGATTGCAGCCCAAGGCCACCTGCCTTCACATCCACTGGGCTTCCATCCCTCTCCTCTCCTTCTGCAGGACCCTAAGGGGGGCGAAACGCAGCAGGCTCTGGAGAAGGTATTCCTGGGGTGACCTGAGCCCTGGCAGGCAGAGGGTTATTAATAGCCTAGCCAGCCTTTGTAGGAAGCGTGGGGAGGTGGCTCGGGGGAGGGAGCAGGGAAGGGGGGCGGAGCTGAGCCCAGCGGGGGAGGAGAGTGTCCGGACAGGCTGGCTGGACTAGGACGACAAGGCCCCTCCCCGCCCCCCTGGGAGCCCAGCTGTTCCCTCAGCGGATTCTCAGGGACTGGTTCATCACCTCCGAATACTCCTGTGACAGGAGGCACTGGCAAAACCCGCCCCCAGCCCCAAGCGGCAATAAATAGAAGGCTCTGAGCCCAGGAGAAGGAGAAGTTTCTAGGCCCGCGTCCCTGGGTTTATTAAGCTCCTGACGCTCCTCCAGACGTCTCAGCGGCTCTGGCTGAGAGCCTGGACAGCCTGGGAGGACAGTGGCTGGCTGATCTCCGGTGAGGCAGTACGGAGAGGGGCCCTCTGGAATTCTGCTGGGCCGGCTGGTGGTCGCCTCTGGAGTGCCTTTGGGGGCTGGGATCCCAGCCGGGTAAACCCCCTCTGTCCTTGGCAGTGGATGGTTCAGCATTTTCTGAAACCGAAGAATAAGCTCGGAGGGCCAGCCGCCCCCACATCACCTTGCTGTGTGACCTTGGGCAGGTGGCTCCCTCTCTCTGAGCCTCTGTTTCGCCTCCAGCTCAGCAGCCATGGCTGATGGTCAGATGCCCTTCTCCTGCCACTACCCAAGCCGCCTGCGCCGGGACCCCTTCCGGGACTCGTCCCTCCCCTCGCGCCTGCTGGATGATGACTTTGGCATGGACCCCTTCCCCGACGACCTGACGGCCTCATGGCGCAACTGGGCTCTGCCTCGATTCTCCCCCGGGTGGCCTGGGACCCTGAGGTCAGGCATGGTGCCTCGGGGGCCGACAGCTACAGCCAGGTTTGGGGTACCCGCAGAGGGCAGGAGTCCCCCACCCTTCCCCGGGGAGCCCTGGAAAGTGTGCGTCAATGTGCACAGCTTTAAGCCAGAGGAACTGATGGTGAAGACCAAGGACGGCTACGTGGAGGTGTCTGGTGAGTGAGGGGCAGAAGTGAGAGAGAACCCAGGAGAGGGGTGTAGGCCTCAGGCCCGGGAACAGCCAAGAGAACATCTGTTCCCTTAGAGGGTGAGCTGTGACAGCATCGTGTGACACAGGTGACTTCAGGGCTCAGGAATGCAGCCCAGTGAGCCCACAGAAGTTATCTTTATGGAAAAGCACTCCTGTCCGGGCTTCCAGGAGACACCTCAACCCGACACAGCTGTGGGGGGGCCTTTGGGGGCTGTACCAGTCAGAGTAGAGGTAAGGAAACGGAAACCATGGCACATGTTTTGACAGAAAAAAAAAATTCATATAAAGAATAAGTTAAACAGAGAAGAAATATAAAGACAAGAGCTAGGACGTCCGACACCCCAGGGGCACAGCACAGTGTAGAAGGGTGTGCCATGATTGAGCTAATACTCAGCACAGGTTTCAAGAGGAACACCTCCCCTTTTCCCAGAACAGGAAACTGAGGCATGGTAGTCACAGTAACGATACTAACTGGCAACCCTGGTTAGCGTTTACTGTCTACCTGGCCCCATACTATACACTTTACCTGTAGCAGCTCAGTTAAAACAACAGGGCAGAGGGGGAAGCGGGCTGTTTGTGTCCTCTTTTTAACAGATGAGGAAACTGAGGCACAGAAAGCTTAAAGTAACTTGCCCATGGCCACATAGATTTAAATCAGGCTGCCTTGGGAACTAGGAGGCCAAAAATGATTTGATGGTTTATTGAGCACCTACTGGCTACCAAGAACTGGGCTAAGCCTCTTACATTCCTTCTACCAGATAACGCTCACTCACTCCAGCCCTGAGAAGCAGGGCCTGTCTACTCCCATTTTGCAGCTGAGAAGATTGAGGCCCAAGCAGGACTTGTCCAAGGTCACGCCATGAGTCAGCAGCCAGGAGGAAGAGTCTGGGCCTGCCCAGGACTCCAGGCCCAGGGCTTGAGCCACCTCCCAGCCTGGGAGAAAGGAAGAGGAGACAGGAGGCTCAGTCCCCATTAAGCCTGGCAGCAGAGAAACGGCTTCCTCTCTCTTCCCTCGCAATTAACGCTCCATTAAAAAGAGTGTGTTCCTGGCAGGCTCCCAGCCAGAAAATCAATAAAAGCCATTGCAAAGCCAGGCTGGGCAGAGACAAGCCCGGCAGGGCAGGGCCGTGCGTGGGGGTAGTTTCAAAGCCTCGCAGGGTGGAATTATAAACATCAGAGGCCAGGGCCGGATATGATGGGCCATGAGACACGCTGGAGCCACGTGTGGACGGAAGGGTTCAGCCAGGCCTTTCCAAGTAGGCTGCAGTTCTGAACCGGGCTCTGCCACGGCCCAGCAGGATGGGCAAATTATTTATCTTCTCTGGGCTTTGTTTCCTTATCTGGAAATGGGGGTTCCAGTGGCTACACGGCAGGAAGATGGCTGTATTATATGAGCCGATGTGTGTCCAGTGTAGACCTGCTGCCTGGGACACGAGGGATCAGTATTCTCATGGCTGTGACGCGGCTGTTATTCAAATGCTGGGCACAGGGGCACCTGGGTGGCTCAGTGGATTAAGCCTCTGCCCTGGGCTCAGGTCATGATCCCAGGGTTCTGGGATCAAGCTCCACATGAGGCTCTCTGCTCAGCAGGGAGCCTGCTTCCCCACCCCCCTCTCTGCCTGCCTCTCTACCTACTTGTGATCTGTCAAATAAATAAAATCTTTTTTTTTTTTTAAGATTTTATTTATTTATTTGACAGAGAGAGATCACAAGTAGACAGAGAGGCAGGCAGAGAGAGAGAGAGAGAGAGAGGGAAGCAGGCTCCCTGCTGAGCAGAGAGCCCAATGCGGGACTCGATTCCAGGACCCTGAGATCATGACCTGAGCCAAAGGCAGCGGCTTAACCCACTGAGCCACCCAGGCGCCCTGTCAAATAAATAAAATCTTAAAAAAAAAAAAAAAAATGCTGGGCACAGCACAAGGCCCCGGGAGACCATAAATGGTAGATGCTCTCTGAGACCTGGGTTCAAATCCCGGCCCAGCCAGATGGATAAGGACAAGAAACGTCTTCCTACTCAGCTTCCTTATCTGAAGAATGGGGAGCGTAATATCAGCCTTGCAAGTCCGTAGGGAACATTAAAAATACACACAGTGTATGATGATAAGTGCAGAAAGTCTGTGAGATGGGGCGAGTAAGAGTTTTTCCATCCGGCACTCTGTGAATAAGGGGATTACCACCACCACCTCCCCCATCTTTGCTTTAATTAGGATTCCAGAGTCTTCCGCCCCAGGTTAGAGGGTTTCCCATGCCCTGTGGCCCCTCTAGGAGGCCTCTGGGAGGTATTTCCTTCATTCTCCTTTCTAGGTGCTTCTTTTTGACTGGGCTGTGGCAGCTCCAGGCTGAGATCCTGGCTAAGCACTTTACTAATCCAGCTCTGCATGAGGCTTTGCGTGAGTCATGGAACCTCAGTTTCCATATTTGTAAAACAGGATTGTTGGGTGCTTCTGTAAGGCAGACAAAGCCTTTTAAGTTTATAAAAATGCCTCCCAGGTGTGCACTTAGCAACTTCAGCTTGAGGAAATCCAAATCCCCTTGAGGGCACGTACAGAGACTCTCAGAAAACGGATTTAAGAAATCAGATTGATATCGGGGCTCCATTTAAAATCAGATCCAGTCTTTAATCCTACAGCACATAACGACAGACCTATTCTTCCTCAAGCACCTGGCTCTCAATGCCTACGTATGTTGGCTCCCTGGTTCCTCACATGGACTCCCAAGGCAACATGGGTAGGTAGGTTTGTGATACCCACTTGGTAAGTGAGGAAGTTGAGACTCAGGGATAGTAACTCACCTGAGATCCGCACACACACCCCCATCCTTCATGGCACATGTCTGCAATTCAAAGAGCCAAGGCTGCTTAGACAGTTCTGAGTCAGGATGGCCAGATTTTCTTCTGATTATACGACCTTGGGCAAACCCCACTATATCTTGGGTCTCCATTTTACTTAGGAGGAGTTGTCTAAATCAGTATTTGTCAAAGGGTACCTTTTAAGATATCAGTAGGTATCTAAGAATGCAGGATAGGCGGTCCAGAATTTTAGAAACGAGCCAGAGGAAACAAAATTATAAACAGGTCTCCTCATTGCAGGACTTATCAGAGCTTTGAATTTGCTAGGGTAGTTTGTGGATCTCTGGAGGCAGCCCAGTCTTATCTGACCACATCTGAGTGTCTAGGTCCAGGGAAGCATTTGGAAAATGCTAGACTAGATGCTTTCCATGATGCCTTATCCACCCCTACTACCCTGCAGCCTCCAGCCAAGAAGTGTTCTCTTCATGGGCCACTGGGCCAGGTCCTGGCCAAGAAGGAACTGGAAAACCCAGAGGCCTTATGCCCACCCCCCTTCTCCTTAATCCCAGGGCCTCTGAATCCCCTGGAAACAGCACTTTCTTTCTTTAGCTAAGCCAACGGCATTCCCCAGAGTGCTGATGCCTGCTTCTTGGCACTATATTTCTCTAAGGCATGCTGGAAAAATAGTAGCTGTGAGGGGCCTCTGGCTTGCCCTGGCCTCTGGATGAGTTCTTTTTTAAAAAAAGAATCATAATTACCTTTTTTCTGTTTATAAAAATAAAATATTTCCACCGTAGAAAATGGAGATAGGAAAGCAAAAGAAGAAATTAAAAATCATTCATAATCCTTAAGCTGCCCCAATAAATAGATATTCAAATTATATGCAAATTAAGCTTCAAGATGAGCCTCGGGTAAGCAACATACATTTTCAACCAGGCTCCTCTTTATGGAAATCTTGGAGCTGCGCCTGCTCAGAGATTCTCCCCTCCCTAACCCCAGTACCCTATTTTCAGGGCATGGGCAGGCAAGCTTAGCCTTTCAGGAGCAGTCCTTTTTCCAGACATCAAAATAAGCCACAAACCTTCGCCTTCACACATTTTTACAATTTACAAAGCAGTTCTGTGACTCATTCTCATTTGCTCAGCAACCCAATAATTAGGAAGGTGTTGTCACCCCCATTTTAGAGAAGAATAAACTGAGGCTCAGAGAGGAATAGGGATGTGCTAGGTCCAAAACCTACATCACTTTGCTCCAACACTTCCAAGCTGTGTGACCCTGGGCATATCACTTAACCTCTCTGAACTTCCATTCCCTGTCTACAAGTCCCAGTTTTCTAAGGTTATCATGAAAATTAAAGAAGCAGCTATAGCCAGGGGCTGGGGTTAGGGGGTAGCTGACACCATAGAAGCACTACATAGGAGTCTGCTACTACTATTCTTTTGATCTTCGTTATTGTTTCTTATTCTCAGGACACCAAGTGTGCAAAAGGGCTGAGTCAGAGGCACTGGCCAGTCCCCAGAGGAAGCAGGCCTCTCTGGAGGCCCAGGCTCTGGGGAGGGTGTCAGGGAACAGGCAGTGCTCCCCTGGCCACAGGCCTGGGTTAGGGCTGGACAGTTGGTACTCATGGACTTGGCAGGTCCAAATTGACTCTCCCAGCAACAGCACCTTCAGAGCAAAGCATGCTCTGGGTAACCAGACACTCAGGTTTAAAAACACATTCCTCTCCGTGTACCCCTTTCTGCCCAGCCCACGAGTGAAAAAATGGAGGCAGCCTTTCCTAAGAGCAATTTAGCTATACACATGGTGCCTCAGAAATTCCAGAACTTAGAATTTATCCTAAAGAAGTCATCAGGCGGGATGCAAAGATCCAGCTGTAAGGAAGTTCGGTGCAATGAGGTTCTTTCCAAGGTCAGAGACCCGTCTCAGTGCCCGAAAGTCAGGAAGTGGCTAAATGAACTTAAATTTCCCTACAGTGGAACACTGTGCAACAATTAAAAAGTCATGTTGTGGGAGGGTATTTGGAACAGCATGGAAAAAATTATCACGTGTTAGCAAGAGATAGCAGTTTTGAGCATAACATAAAATATGATCCCATTTGTGAAAATACATGATATTCATCTCTGCTATATAACATTTATGCATGCTTAAGTAACACAGAAAGAAAAGTCTGGAACTTATACCCAAAAATGTGGTTTCGAAAGAAAAGTCTGGGACTTATACCAAAAAATGTGGTTTCCTCGGGGGGGCCCCGATCATGTACTTCTTTATTTTCTACATTTTTCTAGGGTATGTTTGTATTGCCTTACAATCAGAACAAAGTCATTAATAAAGAAATTGTGAATAATAAGAAGTGTAATTAATAAGGTAAACACCTATAAATTGTCCGTTTTTTAAAAACCTGGGCTGGAAAAAAAAAAAAATTCCTACAAGGTTATTTACAGTCTGTATTCCAAAGCTTCTCAGAAAGGTGTCCCTGTGTGCATGAGGGTTCTTGGCTGGGGAATGTGACCCCACAGATGAGGAACAAATAAAGATAGGAGCTGGAAAGCTCCATGGGGCACTGATCTGGTTTGTTTAAAGAGAAATTAGAGAGGCGCCTGGTTGGCCCAGTTGGTTAAGCATCTGCCTTGGGCTCAGGTCATGATCCTGGGGTTCAAGGTTTGAGCTGAACGTTGGGCTTCCTGCTCAAAGGGGATTCTGCTTCTCCCTCTGCCCCTGCCCTCAGTTTGTGCTTACTCTGTCTCAAATAAATAAACAAAATCTTAAAAAAAAAAAAAAAAAAAAAAAAAAGAGAGAGAGAGAGAGAGAGAAATTAGAGGTTCTCCCCATTTAAAAAAGAAAAAAGAATGAGAAGCAGCCAAGAGGCTCAGAAGTTGCTATATAAATTGCAAGGCGATAGCCAGCTGGGCTCACACCTTCCTGTAATCTTATCTTTTTTCTTCCTGAAGAAAGAAGAGTTGCCCTCCCCTGCTGCCCTGTAGAAGGCGGGGCCGGTGGAATTTCAAATCTGTGGTGTCTAGTGTTCTATTTCTTAAGGAGACGCCCCCCCTTTGGAGACTCAGGGTGTTTTTGTTTTGTTTGTTTTAGCAGGTTGAAGCATTATTTCCAGGCAATTCATCTATTCTAGGTACAGGTGATGTGGCTCAGCTAATCACAAGCTGGGCCAGGAAGAGGGGTGTAAGACCCCAGCACGAAGCGCAGAGTCAGTGAGAGCTGGTTCAGAGCCCAGGCGAGCCATGCACCTGCCAGGTGACTGTGGACCCATCACTGGGCTTCATCACTTACGCCCCCATAACCAAAGGGGAAGGAAACCTACCTTCAAAGCTAGGAAAGGTCTGAGCTTTGTAAAGCCCACTGGGCAGCAAGCCAACCATCAACACATATCCCCAGCTTCTTTTCTACCAGCCCTCCTGGGAGGCTAGCCTTCTGGTTTGACTGGCTGTCTAGGGGGAAGGGGTGAGATTGCTCAGACCACTGGTGTCTCCAGACAGCCCTGAGCCAAAGGGTGGGTCAGGGGCTGGGGCAGCAGTAGAACCCAAGCCTGAGGCCTGACGGAGTCCCTGGGACAAAGATGCTTACCCGCGGCATTCCTCTCTATTCTAGGCAAACACGAAGAGAAGCAGCAAGAAGGTGGCATCGTTTCCAAGAACTTCACAAAGAAAATCCAGTAAGTTACCTGGTGGTGTGGGTTCTGGAGTAGGGGTAGAGGAGCGGGTCCTGTCTGGGACCCAAGATCTGGAGCGACTCCCTCTTAGGCATCTCTCTTTCAAGACAAGCCCCAGATCAGGGAATTCAAGCCTCACCCCTAAAGTGGAGGAGGTGTCATAGCAAACCTGCCATGGGGTTCCAGAAATGGGGGTGCGTAAATGAGGTCATCACACTGGCTCAGTGCCCTGTGAGGTGGGCATCAACGACGCCACTTTGCAGATGGAGAGTCTGAGAGGCCAAATGACACATCTGTGATGCCATGAAAATTGGGGCACTCGCTGAGCCACGTGGCAGGCTTGGGAAGGATCTCCATCACCGTCAAGAGAGACCCTCCCCTGGTGCCCAATGCCCAGCAGAATCTTTCGATGGTTGCTTGCTCTAAGTGTCCTACCACGGGAGAGCAGGCTGCCTTCCCTAGAGCACCCAAGGGAATGAAGCTGGAAGGTGTCCCAATACCGCGGTCTCCTCCCGGGAGGGCTTTGGAGGCTGAGGACACATGAAGGACAGGTTTTGCGGAGGGGTGTGGGGAGAGCTGAGCCTGGGGAATCAGGCCAGCAGCAGGAAGACCAGCAGGCTGGGCCAGTGAATCAAGGCCAGCCAGGTGGAGGGAGGGAGCCTACGGCAAGGGCAAGGGGCTGACTGGGAACTCCTCTTCCCAGACACATCCCCTCCCCAACAGCTCTCTACTACGTATGTAGGTATCCACTTCTGGCCCCAAAGTCTTGTCCCCGTCTATGCATTTAATCTTTGCAGCGGGCAGAAGAGACATGACCCTTCTTGTATGATGGGGATACTAAGTTCCCAGAGGGTAAGCGACCTGCCCAGAGTCCTTACAGTTCGAATTTAGAACAGCCCCAAACCGATCCCTGAGCCCTGGACGCAGGGCTCACGCCTGGAGCAAGGGATGCCCTTCAGCACCTATAAAAGGGATCAGGTGGCTGTTGATTCCGGAGTAACCAACGGAAACGGAAATGAAATCATGGCACGGCCACCAGTGCACAGTAGGTTCCCATAAGTGGTGTTTGTTGTTACAACTGTGCATGGCGGTGTTGAGTCTTTACTCCACGCCTATCCCTGGCCGAAATGTCCCAGGTCTGGAAGAGATTCTGCAGTCCTGTCTCTCCTGCCATGTGCCCAGTACTGACCCGCCCAGCACCTCTGGAGTTCTTAGAAGCCCATGGACGCTTCCTGATAAGGCGAACGGCTGTTTTTCTTCCCGCTCGTTGGCTTGCCTGCCATCCCCAAGACCCACAGCCAGATGAAACGCTGCTGGGAGGGAGAGAGGGAAAGAAAGGGTGGGGGCGTGCAGGGGGAGCTGCTGTTTCCTGGAAGAGACTCAGATAAGGCATCAGGGTGGAGTCCCAGGCGGGACACCGCTGTGGAAGGGACTGAACTGGAAAGAAGTCAGGGGGTTAATCATCTTTATAAAATGTGGATTTCTCCATCTCCGAGGGCTCTGGGAAAGCAGCTTGCTGGGGTGACTTGACCAGACAGAATTGCCTAAAGCCACCAAGGCACAGCTGGGGTCCAGCCGCTGAGCAGAGCTACTTGTTAAAATATTAGACTAGCCATTGTCCTAAGCCCCCTAAGCGAACTCCCTATCTACCCTGCCCAGCCTGACCCTGCCCCCAGGGAGGCCCTCCACACCTCCCCCACGTTCCAGCAACAAGGGTTCCCCAACACCCTCCTCCATCACTATGGCACATATCCATCCATTCTGGTGGGTCATTGTTCCGCTGGGCCAGCTGCTAAGTATTTTGAAACTCCTCTGGATGTAGGGAGGCCTGGTTCCATGATAGAGAAAGTGGGTAACTTGGAACAGGTCTGTGAACTGCCCTGAGCTTCTGTCCCCACATTCCCTCATGGACAGAGCTGTGATGGAGAATGAGAGGATACGTGTAAAGCACTTCGCATGGGATTCAGACTCAGTGTTCAGTCCGTGGGGACTAATACTACTAAAAAACTCAGCCAGGCTGGAGTCACATGAGAACGGCCGGGACCTCCTGGGACCCCCTGGCTCTGCCCAGACTCTAGACACCAAGGATGGCCCAGGCCCACTCTCAGGAGGCTCCATTTCCTCTCCCAGGAAAAGCTCCGGTCATCAGAGGACAGGGAGGCTCCTTCAGCCACACTGAGCCCCTTGGAGATTTCCTCCCAGGCAGGATGCTACAGCTGTTTGCCTTTGCCAAGGCTAGGAAGTTCTTCTCAACACATCCATCCCCGTGTGAAAGCCGCCATGTTGACCAATGAGGCAGAGCAGGAGCGGTCTTGGAATTTGCCAGTCAGGTTGGGGGCAGGGCAAGACTATAGATGGGATCTTTCCACACCCAGCTTGGGTTGGAGGACAGGAAGCAGGGGACTCAGGAAATCATCAATGGAAGATGCTCAGAGTCAAAGCAAACTTTAGGTCCTTGCTCCACACCTTCCCAGATATCTGTTCTGCCATTTACTGACATCTGCAGTGTGTCAAGAGCCATGGAAGAGGGGGTTAGTTTTAATATTATTTCAGCCCTAAAAGAATCCTATGAAGTAGTATTATTAAGACCATCTTCTGCATGAGAAAACTGAAGTCCAGAGGGGTTCTGAAATCCCACAAAGGTCACACAGCTAGTAATGAGCCAGATCTGGGATTTGAACACTGGTCTCCCCACCTTCAAAGCCCATGGCCTTCCTACCTGATTAGGAGAGACTAGACTACAGTCATTCACAGACCATTTTCAACTACTTTTTGCCTTATGTGCTTAGGTTCCCATATTATTATTTGCTTAAGATTTCTTTTCTTTTGCATCAGGTCACTTTTGCAAAAGTTAAATTCCTACTAAAATCTTCACTGAAGAGGGCAATCATAAAACAACTGCAATGAAAGAAAAATGCGATTGAATAGGTAGCACTGTCTGCCTAAGGGTCCAAGCCTTAGATCAGCTCTCTCTCTCTCTCTCTCTCCATTAAATACAGAAAACAGCAAGGGATAGAGGCTAAGGGCATTAACACTTAGCTGAGACCTTCCTTTGGATGAAATGGAAAGACTGAAAGAGAATGGAAGAGGAATAATTTTCCCACCATGGGGGTTCAATGTACAGGTCACCTGGTGAGAGACCTTGAAAGAGTCTGTTCCCGCCTCTGGGTCTCAGTTTCCCCAGGTATAATATGAGAGCATTGTCCTTAACAAAAGAGGAGGTTCTTTTGGGTTCTGACCTTTTTGGCTTGGTGATACCACAACGTAGGCTAAAATATACACAGCCATCAAGGTGCCCACTTGAACAGTCGGTGACTGTAGTAATGACGCAGAGGCTAACACTTACTGAGCACTTACTGTATGCCAGGCACTGATAATTACATCATTGTCCCATGTAATTCTTACACTACCTTAAGAGGTAGAAACCGTTAACCCACTTTTCCTATAAGGAGGTAGGTGCAGAGAGGCCGGCTCGCTAGCCTGAGGTCATACAGTCAGGAAGAAGCAGAATTCGAACTCAGGTCTGCCTGCCTGCAAAGGCCGTGCTCTGAATCACAGGGGCCTTGCCCCATCGCACCAGGTGCACTATGGGGTTAACAGGCAAATAGTTAAACAGAGTTGGCCTGTCCCCAGCAGTGGGAGGGAGGTCCAGACTTTTGGCCTCCTCTGTGCTTCAGAAGTTTGACTTGGCCTCTGCCCAAATTCCCTCTTTCTCTTCGCTCCTTCCCAGAGGGCCCCTTGTTAATCTCTGTTGCTCTGATTTAGCAGGAGTCTCCTGGGTCCAATGCCGTTCATGTGGCTACATGTTGCTACTCACAGCAGAGACTCCCCACCCCCTCCAGGAAGGATCCTGCCCTGGCCAGGAATGGGTCTGCCTGCTGGCCTGGTTCTTTCATCAAAACCTCTGTACTTCTAAAGGCAGGACCATCCTGGACCAGTGGAAAGGTCTATGCTGATCAACCCTCCCGGTATCCCTTTTGGCTCAAAAGTCTGGTGCATCGTGATCATCTGCTCTGAGTTTGGAGGCTAAGATTCCAATTCCATTCCCATCTGCTTCTTTTCTGCAGTGTGACCTTGGGCAAGTCACTTCACCTCTCTGGCCTCAGTTTTCTTGTCTGGACGTGGGGACAGTAACAGAACTTGCCTGGTGGGATTATTGTTAACAACTAAAGCAGATGATAACTAGGTGAACTATCTGGCATGTAGAAAGTGCTCAGAAGGTCATAGTTTTCATAATCTTTATAAATAATGGCATCCCAGTGAAACCACGAACATGTTCTCACTATTCCGGTAATTAGTTGAAGAAACCATGTCCCAGATTGTCTCTTTCACCCAAAACCATAAAATAATCATTAACACACACACACACAAACAACAACAACAACAACAAAACCTTCAAAACTGGAACCAGAGTTGGATTCAGAAATCCCTTTGAGGCTGACTGAGCCTGTCACTTGATGTCCCCAAGTCTCTGCTAAGTGTTCTGTGCAATGGGCATATTAATTCCTACCTATGAACCACTCTGGGCTCTTTATAAAGTTCTAGCCAGGTCATTTCCTATAAATATGTTTTGGGAACCAAGAAGTTAGGACCTATTAAGAGAGATACTTCAGCTTTGGCCCAAATCAAGGTTCATTCTAACCATGGGAAAGAATGTTGCCATGTGGCCAGCCTGTTCCAGCAGTAATTCACCAGTAACGCATTCTGTAGTAAAGCACTTTCTGCAGGCACATGGCAAATGGAAACGTGTTACCTGCTGTGAGTTCAAACCTTCTGCATTCTATAAAGGATCGTGGGGGTCCAGTGTGGGTGTCCAATGTGGGTGGAGACCTCAACCAAAGACCAAAGGTCTGGGCCACAGAGATCTTGTAAGTTACTGTTGGAACACCATGTTACCATTTGCAAAGGCTGTTCAGACTCTCACCTCCCTTCAAATACTACACACGTTTTATATTGCTATCTCCATTTGCAGATGAGGACATAAAATCAGAGCAACTGAATGACCTCGCTAAGACTGCACAGCTAGAGAGAGGCAGAGCCGGGATTCAAACCCAACATTGTATGCCCTCAGAGCCTAAATTCGTATCAAAGCTGTTTTCTTCCAAATGCGCAAAAGTTTGCGTACGCTACGTGAAACATGATACATGAATGATACCTTGTGCTTCTCCTAGGCTTCCGGCAGAGGTGGACCCTGTGACAGTCTTTGCCTCGCTTTCCCCAGAGGGCCTGCTGATCATCGAAGCTCCCCAGGTCCCCCCTTACTCACCATTTGGAGAGAGCAGTTTCAACAACGAGCTTCCCCAAGACAGCCGGGAAGTTACCTGTTCCTAAGACCCCAGTCTTGGCCCATCTTTTTCCCTTGCCATCCCCAGGGCTTCCTTGATTCCGGAGTATATGACTTTAGCTGAATTCATAGATTTAGTGTAACTAAAATGTTGGGGGTGGGGGTGGACTGACCACGGACTCCCTGGCTAGGGTAATAGTAGGCGTTTCCACAGGATGGAGCATTTGGCAGGTCATGCTCAGTTGCCTGAGGCCAAAATGCTGGGAGATTCTCTTTCTTTACCTTTTTTCTCATGATGAAAATGTTGCACATTCTGTAGTTGCAAAACAGGTAGTAGGGGACATGACATTTCACACTGTATTTTCCCTTGCAGCGAATGCAAAGGTTGCTTCTCTCTGGGGACCTCCCTGTCACCCAGATTCCTGTTCTGGGTTCCGACTTTCCATGCCTGTTGTATGGTTTGGTGGATGGAACCCATTAGCTCACTCTACTGTGTTTCTGCAGCGTTGGCCTACGAAGGGGGGTAGCTAGGTCTTACCTCCCCGTATGGGATTTATGCAACAGCCACCTGAAAACAGTGCCTTCTGCTCCTCAGCCAAGCATTTATATAGCATGTTCCCAAACCGGCACTCCCTGGGGACTCTGGAAGCCCATTTATTCTCTGGCTAAATCCCCCCCCCCACCCCTTTCTTGTGCCTCCTATGTCCAATTTGGGATTTTTACAGAGGGGGCTGTCTCCAAACAGCTCCACCAGGAACCAAGCAAAGGCCAGACAGACTGGCAGGCAGGCTAGTGGTGTTATGTATATGAGTGGGACTTGTGTGTCATTGTTATTTGAATTGTGCTGTTGTTTAGGGGCAAATAACAGTAAATAATAATAATAATAAAAGAGCTGATGTTCTTAGCCTTGTGTGCTTCTTTTGATGGGGAATGCTAAACTCTATACCATTTAGAGATATGAAATGAATTAGGAATGCTTGTAGCTACAAATAATAATATACAACAAATCTTGGTTTAAATGACATAAACGGGGCACCTGGGTGGCTCAGTGAGTTAAAGCCTCTGCCTTCTGCTGCTCAGGTCAAGATCCCAGGGTCCTGGGATCGAGCCCCACATTGGGCTCTCTGCTCAGCAGGGAGCCTGCTTCCTCCTCTCTCTCTGCCTGCCTCTCTGCCTACTTGTGATCTGTCTGTCAAATAGATAAATAAAATCTTTTTTAAAAATGACATAAACATCTATTGTCTAACTTTTCAAGAAATTTAGAGATGAGTGATTTCAGAGTAATTTTTTTTTCAGTTCATATGCCACTTAAGAGCCCAGAGATCTTTCTCCTCTGCCATCTCTGACAAAGTCTACAAGATTTGTCCTCATGTTTGCGAAATGGCTGCAGCAGCTCCAATCACCTCATCTTCATATGACAATGTACCCGAAGAGAAGTCAGGGATAAAAAAGTCTTCTCATCTGGCTTTCCCTTTTATCAGTGAGCAAGATCTTTTCCAGAAGCTCTCAGAAGACTTCCCCCTTTATTTCATTGAGCAAAACGGGGCCACATGCTCTACCTCTACAGCCAATCTCAGTTAATCCCCATGACACCCTAAGCAGACGTTCATTTTACAATGAAGAAGCTGATGCTAATGGCGAGTCACAGCATAACAGCAGAACTTGAACCTGGACATTTGCTTTTGGAAGAGATCGTGAGGGGCTTATGGGCTGCAAAGCCATCTTCAAGGGCATCTCTAAATCCCCAAAAGGCCACAGAAGTCAGTGACTATTTCCTAAACACCTACTTGCTGGGTCCTGTACTAGAAGCCAAAGATATAGTGAACAACGAGCCACAATTCCTGCCCATGTGAGCTCCCAGACCCTTAACAGGAAAAGGCAGATAAAAGCAGGCCTGTCCCTCACTCGGGGCTTCCATGTACCAGACACCACGCCAGAGTGTCATGTGTCGGCTCAGTTCCATTGCTCGGCAATTCTCTGCGGTATGTTCAACTCTCATCTCCACCTGACCAATAAGGAAACTGAGGCTCAGAAGGGTTAAGGGCACTGGCCCAAATCCCACACCTGGTAAGCAAGGGGCCCAGGCAATCTGACTCCAGACTAACTATGAAATAGGACTTTGTTTGGCCTTTCTCTCAACAAAGAAAACATAGGCAAGGCTTCAGTAGATCATTCACCTTGTGGGAAGAAAAGAGATGGAATTTCAAGCTGGGGATTTACAGGGGTGGGTGGGGGTTGGGATGATGGCTTATCAGAAAGAAGGGTAGTGTTCTGGTCAGACTTGAAGATGGACAGGGTTGTAGCACTTGAGTAAGTAGAGGGGCAGGTGGGGTAGGGGCCTCACCTGAAGAAGAAAACACAGGAGCCCAGGTGAAAGGTGGATCCCTTTTAAAATCCTTTTATGGTTCCCCATTGTCCATTGTCAGAAGGATTGAGTACAAGATTATTTGCCATACTAGAAAGGCATTATGGGCTCGGGATGTCTCTCTCCACCCTACTTTAACCCCCATGTTCACCCTCCAGCCTCACCTAACTTCCCTCTGTTCCTCCAACCAGACAAGTCTTCTCTTGCTACCAGAACTTTAGATATGCTGTTCTCTCTCTCCACGATTACTCTCGGACCCTCTGTTAGGGTACGGAGTCGACCACCCCTCCTACAGTGCAAGGTGCCGGCTTTTGCTTTGCCAAGATGGCTGTACTTATGTCAGGGCCAGACTCGAGGTGGGTACAGCCTTGTTTTTCTTGGCCTCCACACCTGGAGCTGGTTTCCAGGACTTGTTTTTTAAGTCCCCTGGGGCAAGGGGAGCAGGGACAGTAAAACAGGTCCTTACACCTCCTCACTGGCTCTTTGTATAAGGTCTCAGCTCAGACTGCCACGAGGGTAGCCAGAGTCCCCTCTCACTTACCCTTGTCCCCACACAGCATACCATGCAACAACTTGGGTCTCTGTGCAGCAGCAGAAATCATAACATAAAATCATAAAAACCCAAACTGACCTTGACTGCTCTGCTTTCCAGGGTGGGAGGAGGAATCATTCGAGTCAAGGGGGAAAATCCCTGCTCATTTGATATTTGTCCAACAAAATATTTACGAGGCCCCCACCAGGTGTGACTATTGGAACCCGTGTCTTTACACTGGGAGGGGCAGTTGAGAGAGAGAGAGAGGGAAACAAAGCTATGATCTCCGTGTTTGCTACTTCTGGTCTTATGAATGGTGAGTCCCCAAGTGGGGAAAGGGGAAAGCTTATGGTCCACGTCTTCTGTGCTAAGAGCAACGTTTGTTACATTAAGTAATAAATATGCATTGAGCGAAAGAATGGTAAGTGTGGGTCACCCTGGAAAATTAAGCCAAAGGCACCATCTCAAACTCCGGAAACCTGGCTCCTTTATGTCCTAAGCGCTTCCAGCTTAGACACACAAGCCTTGCCATCAAAATAGATGACTTGGCCCTTCGTGGGAGATCTCCAACCAAATGGAAGAGCATTGTTCCTGAGCCCTCACTTCCACGATGATGCTGGGACATGGGGTGCTGGGAACCTGCTTCCCCACCCCATTCCCTTGTCCCAGCTCCCCAGAAAGTCTTATTTGCAGCCCACCTGTGCCCCTTCCCAGCTGCCTGCCAGCCAGCGGCTGCCAGCGGTGATGTATAGAGATGCCTTGATTTGACCTTGAAGGGAGGAAACAAATTAATGTGTCTCGAAATAAATTCCAGGAATCAGCGGCTGGCTTCTCCCTCTCCCCACCCCCCACCCACTGCCTCACGGGTTGTGCATCATAATGTGAAAATCAATACTGTCTCTTAAATGAGCCAACACCTGGACCTGGCAGGGTGTGGGGCTGCTGCGAGGTCCCTTCCCACCTACTGTCCTTAGCCCGGGATTTGTCAGAAGGGGTGGGAGGCTCCAGGCCAGCTGTGGGAGCTGCTGTCTGGTTGCTGAGGGCAGGCTGAGTCAACTTGTCCACAGCCAGGTCAATCCACCGGACCCCCAGCTCCAGGATTTCCGAGTGCAAGCAGACGTGAGCTACCTGGGAAGCTCCTGCAGGAAAGGGAAGGGTAGCCAAGTACAACAGAATCGCCCTGGCCATTCTCCAGGGATAACTGAGATATGGGGAAGAGGGAGACTGAAGGCCCAGCCCCCCAACTGAGCAATTTAAGGTTTATTTACTGAGTGCCTTTCTTTAGGCTCTGCCCCAATTCAACTGTATGCCCAGGTACGCTGGTGCCAGGTGTCCAAATATTGAAATACTTCAGTATTTATCGCTTGATAAATAACACCTCCCGAGCCTCCAAGGTGACCCCTTTGTCCTCGCCTGTAGTAAGCATTTCTTTTTATTCTGCTGCTTTGATCACCTGGGGGCTTGCTGACCCTGGAGGGAGCACCCCTTCAAAGCTTGGCTAACTCCTAGAGATATTAAAGGACTCACCTGCAGGCACACTTCTCATAGGAAAAGCAACCAACCCAGAGCCCACGCTTCAACCACATTCTCATCACATACTTAACTCTCTGAGCCACTATCCACCTGCCCTGATCATCCAAAGGTTAGGTGCCAGACGCCGGGAGTCAGCCCCAGTGCCCCAAAGCTGGCCGAAATTATTCCAACTAGCCAATCCTAAACCTGCCTACCCTGCCTCATGGGTTCCTTCCCGAAGAAACCACAGTCAAAGCTCCTGCTCCCACTTAAGCCTGTTTACTCTGTCTCATAACTGCCTCTCGTGCTTCTCCATGGGGCCCCCTGCAAAGTGGCAAGCCCTCTCCTCTTGGATCTGTGAGTGTAACAGGGTATATTTTTCAATGGCAGCCACCTCTCCTGATCTTTCAGCCTGGCCATAACTGAATAATAAAAAAAACCTCCACTCCAAAACACAGATCCCTCCCCTGCCCTTGCCAGTCCCTCTGGGAATAAGTGGGTGCCTTTGGACCCATGGCCATTCTGAGCAGTCAGTGTCCTGGCCCTACCATTTGTTAAAGATTTGGAATATCACCCCATCCTGCCCAGCCTACCCTGTATCAGGCAGCACAAGAGTCCCTGGAGAACAAGACAGATGTGGGAATCTGCCCGCATGGGTGTAGTGGGGTCTCTGGCAAGAAGAAAATAGCAGGTCCCAGGGCAGGAATGAGCACGGGGCTCTGAGATCAGGACGCAGTGGGGCCAGCAGCGATCTGAGTGCTGACCCCAGTTCTGCTGCGCACCATTGCACGTGACCTATGTGACCTTGTCCCTTGACCTCTGCAAGTGTTCATTTCTTTAGCACAGATTGGGTGATGGTGATTCAGGGCTAAGAGGAGGGGCGGTGTGTGTGTGTGTGTGTGTGTGTGTGTGTGTGTGTGTGTGCTCAGCCTATTGGTGCTAATACAGGGGAAGTCCACAATTGGTAAGGAGTGGAGGGTCCTTCCTGAAAATCTAGCCCCTCCTGAAAAACAGAATCCAGGGTCTTCCAGGGACCCACAGTGGGTTACTGAACTACGGGACAGTCTGGGGTCTGTACGTGCAGTGGACAATTTCCCAGCACCCGCCTCCCAGTCCCCATCATCTCCGTCTGGGAGAAGAAAAGCAGAAATTAGGAGCATTGAAGGGATTTTACTTTCCATTGTCCGAGGTCTAGAGGTAAGGAGACACCACATCTCCACAGTTTCAGTGGCCAGGCCCACTCCCTGCCCAAGAAGGAACCTGTTATTGTACCTCAGGAGAAACCTGCCAATGCAACTTCAACATCTGAATTATGTCATTTTTAATGAAATAGAAGGCTGGTTGTAGCCCCTGAGTGGTTCGCACAGTCCCTGGGACATAGCAAGTGCTCAGAATATCATCAGCTCCTGTCATCATCTGCAAAACCGTGCAGAAGGTTCTCTCTCTCTCTTTTTTTTAAGACAACAGTAAGGGAGGGAGGGAGGCAGGGAGGAGGCCGAGAACACGCTGACGGTGTACTATAGCATTTCCCTCCTTGGAAGACTTAGAAACTGGGTACAGACACAAGGTGGGCAAGGCTGCTTGGCTGGGTTCATGCTCTTCCCC